ACTGTAGTTTAATGCGTGTTCTTATGAGTCTGGGCTCACAAAGATTTTACAATTACTGGGAATGCGTTTTTATAATAAGCATTAAATAATGCCAAAATGTGGCATTTTCAATGCCTCACTGCTCCTTAATGAACATGGGCACCCCCTTTTTTATTTCAAAATTGAAGTTATCATATGACAAATATTCAGTGGACAAAGTTTGATCAAAAATCTATTGTCACTTTTATTTCAGAGGAAGTACCTTAATTAGCCTTAGAATTAAGAGTAAGGGTTTGAGTGGGTCACTTCTGTCTAAGAGGGCAATTTACATGCACTGATGTAAACAAGCCTGTACACATAAATAGGGTGAAACCTGTATTAAGTGGACCCCATATTAAGTGGACACCCTTCATTAAATGGACACCAGCTTGAGTCCCTAAATTTTCTTCCCACATTTAAGCCTACGTTCAGCAGACACCTCTGTTAAGCAAACACGGACACCAATGTTAAGCCATTTTGTGACACAAAACTGGCAATAAGCGGACACTTCAAGGGTTTTTACTTCTAAAAGCTCAGCTCAGACTCCTTTAACATTGTTCAATGATATCATTTTAAAGCTAAGTAGATTATTTCAGATTGAGGCATTGACTGACCGGACATTGTGCTATGAGCAGTCTTCTATCTTATACTGTGTTACACTGTGATACAAAAGGTTAATAATTAAATATCATTGTACAATATATTAGAACCTGTTTAGAGTGGACATCCTGTATTAATAAGTGGACCATAGTGAGTGTCCCAAGGGTGTCCGCTTACTACAGGTTTTACTGCACACAATGCCCATGTTAACTGGATATACCTTATGTGTAATTATTGACAAAGATGTTATTTTTACCCTTTTTACTTACTTTATATTGTGAAACGCATTTGAACATTACTTTATGGAATTTGCGCTATATAAATATATTGTATCATATTGTATCAAATTCTCCCTAAAGGGACTTTCATTTTGATTAGCACATCACTATTACTTCCAAGGAGTGCTCCTTTGAGTACAAGAGGATTTTGTGGAGAAATAATAAAGCTTGATCTTCCATAGTCCTTATGCACAACACTGAACACAGTATTAACTCAATAGTGCATACTGAATATGAGATTTAAGAGTTATAATAGATACAGTATACATATTGAGCTTCAATATTTTGGTTACAACTTGTTTCTTGATAATATAGAAGGGAGCTTAAGCAAACCATGACGACGACAGCAATGAGAATGTCACTAAACAAAAGGTTTAACGAGCAAAACAATAGCTGTGCATGTGCATTATAAATCTTTGTACATTTCTTTGCCGTTCTCTGCAAAACAACAACGTGAAATGACCAAGTTCTGCATCGTCTACGGAATGTGGACGACAATGGCTAATTTTTCGTATTTCCATTTGGAATTGAACGTTGTCGTTGCATATTTAGCTTAAGCATGTTTTAAGAGCTATTGGCATACCGAACAGATCTAGACAATCGCGAATTTCGCTTATAAAATAAATTCATTTTTTACTAGGCGTCGTCCACTGCGTCGTCGTCGTCGTTGCTTAAGCTCCCTATTATACATGTAGGTACAACTGTAAGTATATTCTACTTACAGCTTAAGGCTGACAAAAGCAAAGCTAAATATGTATTTTCTGGCTCAATTTTACCCTTGGCACCATTTGGTGTATTCAATTGTTTTGATATATCAGATAGTATATTATAATGTATAATTATAAAACAAAGGAAAATACGAACTTGTACTAAGGGTTATACTGAACTGTAATGTGTACATTGAAGCTTTTTTGTCTTTCCTATAGTAAAAATTAATTGTCCAGACAATAACATACCAACAATTTTGAATGTTTTACAGTCATTTCAATGGAGAGATACCTGTGGACTTAGAGTACAGCTTTGGAGATGAGGTATCAATATAATTATCAGTAAAATGAGACTTGTAATTTGTGAATCCAAGACGTTATTCTGTAGTCTCCTGCTACATGTATAGCATCTTGTCAGCAACTTTGTTTTCTATCACCGCACAATACTCAATTTGCTCAAGAATATTTGTTAATCTTTTCTCTTTATGTGTTCTTGTTTCTTGTACATTTACATTAATTCTATTTGAAAAGAGTTCACTGGTTAATTACTTCTAGTGAGAGATGTGTATTTTATGCTCCAACCCAGCATGGTATGTTGATATAATTATAGAGAACAACATGGTTCGTACTGATTTGATATTAATGCTTCAATTACTGCTTGTTTCTCATTGTGGGCCAAATCAGTGAGGTCCAGGTGTATATGGACGTGTATAATGTAATACTTGTCTGATAATGTTTTAATACTTTACGGAACTGTTTACCGATGTCACACTTTTCCAATTTTTTTTTTTCATTCAAACAAGAAAGAAACTGCACCACTCCATCTATCATGCTAAATTTAGCAAATATGGTATGTGAAGTTTCATTAGAACCCGTTGCAAATTCATTAAACTATGGACCCCTAACTCATAAATGTATGCCAGGGGGCAAGCATATTTTGCTCCCAGGCATACATTTCTTTGTAAGTTTGGGGTCCCATATTTTTATGAGTTTGCAACAAATTCCTATCAAACTTCATAGATAAATACTAAATTCGGCATGATAAATAATTTGAACTATAGGGAAGGTGATTTTTTATTTATTTGAAAAATACCAAAAATTGTTGATATTGCGTGACATCAGTAAAAATGTCCGTTGCTGCGTGTTCGTCAGTGTTGTCAAAAGTAATGTGGTGTGGTTATTATAAAGGTCAACACTTACAAACATGTACATTTATGGACTGATAATTACATGTACCTCTTGTTTTTCAGTATGGACCAAACCAGTATGGTCTGGTTGTATATGGAACTATAGGCCATACTCCTGAGCCAGCTGTGCAGTATGTCAAAGAAACACGCAATGCAAAACAGATGCTGCAATTTCTAGATGAAGTCAAGTTAGTCTCATTGTACTGGGAATTTTATGTAATATATGACCTTAGAGTATAATTGACCAGGATTCTGACTAGTTACATTTGTATAATAATTTATTTATTATTATAATAAATTGTGTCTGACCTAAAAATAAATGAATAAATAATTACAAAAAAAGATTCTCTGTAAGGCTACCTTGTACATGTAGTTTAGATGCCTGATGGATGCAATGTCAAAAGGCAAATAACAGATTCCCTCTCTTGGGGATCTGGCTTTCCTTTTATGTCTTTTTTGTTTAGGTCTGATACAATAATATTGGTTTTTATCATGTGAGCTAAATCACTTTGTTTTCATTTCAGATTTGAGGGAGGAGGTTGCGAGGAGTGCAGTTTACTAGCTGAAGCTCTTAGTATTGCTTTGCAGGTTGGTGAAGTTGGCATCATTAAATGGCTGAATTTTTGTTTATGTGCAGGTCTAAATTAGCACAGTCATTTACGAAAGCCACCTGATTGAAACAAAGATAACTTTCTATATTTTTGAACCTTTTTTATCAGTGACAATTTTCAGTACAATAGTCATGATTGTACAAGTAGCTGTCAGGCAAGTTAATGCATGTTTTTTTTTTTTTTTTTTTTTTTCATGAATTTGAATCATTTCAATTATTTAGTAGGCCTGGTGACAAAATATCCAGATTTATGTGCAGTTCACAGAATAGAAATTGAGACTTCAATGTGTAAATAATAATCCCACTTATCCTAACAGATTTTCAGATCTAACAGATTTTGTAGAGGAGTGTCATTAACATGTGCATACATGTAGTCATAACAGTGCTGCACATCTGTTTATTTTAATAAACAAGAGAACAAAAGCAAAATAAAGAGAATCCTATAAAATGAGACTATTTGAGCGTCAAGAAAAATTAAAAAACTGTTAGGATAAAACTTACAGGTTAATCTTCTCTTGGATGTATTTCACATTATCTCTTACAGATCTTTGATGAAAGAACTCTTCAGAGGGGTCAAGGTTATAAGTAAGTTGGCTTCAGTTTTTGTGTGTTTTGATTTTTCTTGAAGGCTGGAAGTGAAAATTTATTATTTAGTGGCAACAAGTGGCTTGTCTTTTTGTGCAAAGAAGTTAGCCCATATAAATAGTAGCTAGACTGCCTGGCTTAGCATGAAGCAAGTAGGAAGCTTTAGGGTGATCCCTCAGAAAAAAAGAATATTAATACAGTATTTGAAAAACTGTCATTATTTAAGAAATAGAAAACATGCACGGTGTTTCTACTGGGTTATAGAAACACCAGTGTAAGTTTGGGAGAACGAGAAATGCTGTGGGAACACGAGCCATAGGTGGGTGTTTCCACAGCTTTTTCGAGTTCTCCCAAACTTTCACGAGTGTTTCTATAACTCGATAGAAACACGGAGAACACGTTTTCTATTTCTTTTAGAAAACACCACGAGAAAAAAAAGGACAACAACTTGTTAACTTTGATTATCAAAATGTAAATTCTCTTTGCTCATGCCATCATTACGTCAACAGCTCATGCTAGTTCTGTGTCTCTATCGAGTTATAGAAACACGATTTTTAACCAATCAGTGCACGTATTTTCTTAGGACTGTTTACTAATTAAAATTATTCAAGCTCAGAAATGCAATATTTTGCAACAGTGATTCTTCAAAGTTAATGAGGAGTAAACTTAATGTTTGACTCTTTTCAGTCTATACTCAAGGGGAAACATCATTGAGAAAACGTGCTAAAAAATGCCAGAGGAAACGTCTTTTGAAACTCTGCTACGCACAGTTTGTTGAACATCACTTGAATTAAAAAGATGTGTGATGTGTTTTACGTTATTTTTCTGCGGTACAAAATTTCTTTCAGACTGAAGCAAACCCAAAAATGATAATATTTTCCAAGGCCAAAAAAATTAGCCAAAAAATAAATTTAATTTAATAAACCTATATAATGGTGATTAAGACAGATTATGGATTTGAATAACAAACTTGAAAAACAATTTCATTTTCAAGATGTTAATTATTTTTACAGTAATAATTCCTAATAATACATTATTTTAATGCTAGGGGCATTGTCCGTAAAAGCTGTATAGTTGTGTGCAACTCACCTCCATTTGGTTTGCCAAGCTATGGGTGTGCAGATGACTACTCTGGCAAAACTGTTGAGCAACTTGCTGAGGAAATGGGTCAAAAGGTGATCACACTGTAACTTGATTTCTGTACATGTTATTATAATATCAATTATGGGTGAATGCTCTGACAATGCCTATGTTATTAGGCCATTCCTCATGAGGGTAAAACTATTAAAATTATGGATACTGTAAACACCAGCGGATAAGCCGCAACTTTTTACTCAAAATGTTCCGAAAAAATCAGGAATGCAGCTTATCTGCAAGAACATCTGGACAATCTGGTGTAAATTTGCAAAAAATAACAAATGGTCCATATCCTGGTCAAATGCCTGGCTACTAAGCTACGAAGGAAGGTACAAAAGCATTCTTGTTGTGGTATATGTAAAATTCTATTGAAAAACTGACAGGAATGAAAAATACCAGAGAAAGAAAAACATACATCAAAGTCCTTAGACATGTTCATACTATCACAGAGCTAAACTTATTGGTAAGGGTTTCAGTTTGAAGTATGGTCACTTTTCAATGCTAGTGAGTTTACACTGGTTTGTGTTCAATTAATCAACAAATGTACTTGTAAAGCATCTTTCTCGTTCAATTAATGAACAAATGTACTTGTAAAGCATCTTTTGACTTATTTTAATTTCTTTCCAAAACTTTTTTCCAAAATTGGACTTTCCAAACTCGGAGTGCAGCTTATTTGTGAGTGCAGCTAATGTGCCAGTGTTTATGGTTATATGATAATTATTAGTTGTATTATATCACATTTGTTTGCTCAGTAAGTATTTTGTGTATACTTGTACATGTACAACAGTTTTGAGTAAGGTAGCCTAACAGAAATATAAAAAAGATAATGCTGAAAGGTATTACAGGCAGTGGTACTTTACCATTAGATGATGTGAAGGAAGGAGAATCATGTGTACAGTCAGGTACATGTACAATGATGTATTCATGATTTATCGATCTTGCTGGACTATCCAGAACTTAAATGAACCAGCGATAAACTAACTCTACACAGTATGCCAGGTTTCGGTCTTGCTGCATCTTTTGTGGGATAACCTTTCTTGAAACAGTTCTATATAAACAGTCTGTATATAATATACCGGTACAGTGTATTGAATTCTTACATAACTGCAGTAGATGAGCTGTCATGGATTTATTGCAATTTTTATAAATTACAATGTGCACATAGTAATACATGTGACTGCATCCTGCATATCACAGCTGGCAGTTATTTCTATGACCAACCTCTTGTTTTTGTGTTCTTTTTTATTCCAGAAAGGAATTCATCTCTCCATTATTGCACCCAGAAAAATTCCTGCACTTCAAAGAGCATTTGAAAGAGTAAGAATCTCCTAAGTTAGAATAATTGCTTGTCCATACTACATGTATACATGTAGCAAATGATGTTATTTACAAGAGAGTGAAAATGTCTAACTTATGCAATGCAGTAATTTGGCATGTACTCCTATGACGTTCGTAGAATAATATTAATCTATGATGTATAAATAACATCTACACATCTGTAGACATATAGTATTGTTACAATTATTGGAAAAACTACTTAGAACTAATAATAATTTTTATTACATTTTGCATGTAATTTGGGATTCTCCACTGAAAATGGTTACTGTTACAAATTAAAATAATGTATTTACTGTAGGCTAGTATCAGGTGGGAATTGTTGAAACCAAGTATTCTTCTGCTTATTAAGTGTATACACTGCATATTATAATATGATTTGATTAAAGTTTGGGAAAATAATGTATAATAAATTGTATGTAGGTTGATCTTAAACTCATTAAGTTGTGTTTTTGACTGGTTTTTAGTCATTATGATAAACTTTTGATTTTATCATGTAAATGGTTTTAAAATTAAGCTTTCTGTTTCCAGTCTTTAACAGTTGATAGTAAAAGTGTTTTGTCAAAAGATTACTCCAAGGATCCCAACCATTTAGTGTGCATACAGGGCCTGGATTTACCAGGTAAATACTCTTCATGTTACAATGTGTTTAGTTCATTATTCATTGCTCTTTTGCTAGTAAACGTACCTTACAACTAGAGACATCTGTCATACTGTCAACCTATTCCATTACATGTAGACAACTTTTCCTCAAGAGTTTTGCTAGTGATGACATTCACAAGTATGGTTTCTTGCATCTAGTGTAACAGAATAACTGGTTAATAAACTAGCAGTAATCAAAGATTATGAGAGTGTATTTGACACCTTCATTGTAATTGCTTGAATGACTGACTTTCAACCTCCTGTCTGGTGCTTTCTTTTGCATGCGTAAATAGAGAGGCTGTGGCCAGTCTAACATAATGGCAAAGTCCAGTATTTTTCTGTGGATTTGATTTCCTTCTTCTATGGTTAGCAACTGGAGGTCCTTGTGATAAACTACTAACAATTATTTTGTTGATATGTTGCATACAGCTCACCGGTTTCCTTAGACTCACAAGTTTAATAGACTAAAATATAAAATATTTACATTAATTTTGCCTTCAAACAATCACTATGCTTAACATTTTCACCTTTTTACTGAAAAGCTAATTATGGCCTTATGTGCCACTTATTAGGCACCAAGAGGATTATGTCTCTATGTATTTTTAGCTATTTAGTAAAACAATAATTTTCTAGACAGATTACAAATGTCTACTCAGTTGCAATAAATATAAGTGACAGGCATTATGTGCCAATTTTATTGAAAGTGCAATTTATTTACAAAAATAATGTAATTTAGGGCTTGAAAAAAACTTGAATAATGGCTTGCCCATAGACAAGCAACTCTCAGATTTCTCAAGTTACTTACCTGGCAGGAAAATCATTGTTACTTTTCCCAGATGACCAGACAGCATTTTTTTTAGCCCTTTCAAACTTACACATATCATTTGGATTTGTATAGAGAAGAGTTGCCTTAGAGGCAGAGAGCAGCTATGGTGCTCTATAATATCTACTAACAGTAACAGCATGGATTTTGGATCATTATTTTTTTAGATTTCAAATCAGTTACTCGTAACAGTGATTCACAAGCTGAAGTATCAAAGAATGGGGTACACATGAGTGATGCTAATGTGAAGCCTGTAGTGACACCTTCTCAGTTGACTGCCAGTGGAACATGTATGTGTGATGAAATAATAATTATTTATTGGTAGATGTACATGGCTAGATGTTGGTCTTACCAGGACTTTCTGTTCCATTTGCAAGCCTGCAAATAACAGTCGGTCATTGGACAACTGTCTGGTAAATTTGAGTTTTTGACAGGTAAAAGCTTAGCCTGGTCGGACACTCTGACCGGGCATTTCTGCTAAAATGAAAAATATTTTA